GAAGGAGCACATACCAGGATGTGAACTCGGCATTGAATTGGGAATATGACCACACTGCCAACCACTGAACCACAGAGCAACCATAAGACACAGAAAGTATACAATATATAATTATACACAGTCTTATTTTTATCTCATTTTGCTAGATTTCAATATATTTCAGTTTAAAAATCCTAATTCTACCTTGGTTTAAAATAATAACTAATAAGTAATAAATTTTCTTAATTTAGCTATCAATTTTCCCTCTTCAACTGTTTAATGATTGGTGTTTTTGTAGGACAGTTCATTTTGAACCACAAATATGAATAATATTGATGTGAGGTATTTACTGACTCTAGCCTTTAATGGCATATTGTCAAAGTATCTTAGTTTATCCTCATCATATAAATACAATTCAAATTAATTAAACTAATTTAACAATTTGACAATTATCAGACAAAAAGCCAAACCTAAGCTGAAAGAAAACTCAGAAAACTCTTTTCCAGAGGGAAAAATATAAAAGGGTAAAATCTGACCTTTCTCAGATCTTTATCTTTATTCCTGTTTTTAGTATAAAAAAATCAGTTATATACACTGTATAAATAAAATGGTAATGTTTTATCTTGAGTAAAACTGTATCCTTGTACAGTTTATTTGCATATTATTGCAGGTAACACATAGAGGTCGCTGTTCTAACACTTGATTATACATTTTGAAATTTAAAGCTGGTTAAGTATTTACATTAATTTGGATATGTCTCTTGAAATGATGTGTATAATAAAAAATATATATATTTTATGCATTCATCTATCATACATAGCCTGCCCGTTAGTTTTCATGGTTTTATTGATAGCAATGATATTTTGCTTTTATTTTGATTAATACCAATAAGCTTAATACCAATAAAATATGTTCCTGATTCACAGTTGACATGGTTTGACAATGCCTGCTTATGTGCATGGAATATCAGAACCAGTCTTGCATTAGTGACATTAAGCAAGTGAGGCGTTCTTTTAGTGAAACCCGGTATTTAAGTTAACTCAGACTTACAGTAGGCGACCAAGTCTGGCTTTTCTGAAATACCTCTCAGCTCTTTGATAAAAAAAACTACAAGGAATTAAAGTGGTGAAAAATGTTTGCTTGGTAGTTTAACATAAGGTTTTTATCATTTCCCGCTTATTCAAAAACTGTTCACAAACATTGTTTACTGTAAATTACAAAACTTTAGCTGACCATTGGTTTATGGAAACTCAATAGCTAAAACTGTAGCAGCGCTTTGCTGGTCTCTAGAGAAAGGCTTGTTGTCTGCGGTTTCTTTGCCAGCATTACCAGTGTGGCTGCTGATAATGGGAGCTTTTCATTAGGCTAATGTGTCTCCTCACTTTCCTTACACACATATCCTCTTTAAGTGTTTACTTCTTCAAGCAATTACCTCTGCAAAGTATAAATAATCTGTTTGCTTTTTTGCCTTAAACTTGTTTATTTTCTTCTCAGTGAGTGTGAGTAAAAAATGTGTCAAATCAATGTCTTAATGTTTCAAAGGCATCCAGGATGAATTATGGTTTGTATTTAGTATAAGAATGAAAATGTTTTTAATGTCCAAAACTGCTTTTTTGTATTTATGAGATGTCTAAACACAAGTATGCTCAAGCTGAGATCTTGGAGCCTGTCTAGTAATAATTCAGATCTCTGTTAAATGAGCTATGCAAAAACTTGTCCTTAAAAACAGCTTTATGTGAGATGTCTGTTTTTTATCTACCTAAGCTGTATTATCTTAGCTTTCTCTCTCCTCTGGGTTACAAATGCAGTAAAAATTGACTCTTTACTCATGAAACAAACACATTTTTTTCTGAATAGTTTTGAAGGTTTAATCCGTTTGTCAGCGTGCATCCTTTCCTGGTTTAATTGATCAGAGACTCTTTAGATCAAATGCATGTTTCACTGAATATCTTTTATCAAACACATTCCCAGAAATGCTTTCACTGTAAAATATAAAATTTTGATTTTTTTTGGCCCAAAGTGATATCATTGTTTATAATACCAAGATATCATTAAATTAGTTTATGACACCATTTTAAATTAAACTGTCTATGAGCTTGAGATCATGATTTCTGGCCTCCTTTTCAATGCTGATAGAACTTGATTTTGGACGTTTTCGAAAAGCATTGTAGTTTGGTCTAACCTGAGACTGAACATATGATTCCAAACTATTAATTATTTAAGTGTTTATGTTGAAAAGAGGTCTACATGGAGCTTTAATGCTAAATTCAAGTTCCAATATCATCAACATCCAATATCATCATCTGGTGATTTAGATTTTTGGTTGTGCTTAAGGTTTTACTTTGGGTTACACTTTAATTAATGTAATTATATGTTTTTATTTCCCTTCAGTGTCATGTAATTTATTTTCTAGTTATATATCAGCCCTGTTGACACCCAGTGCCATATGGCTTATTGGTTTGAGTCACATTCGGTGCATTAGGCAGATCTCATTTCAGTTTCTGGATCATATGGGATGAAAACAATCAAATAAAAGAAAACAAACATTGCATTTATTTATTTTTTTTTTTTGTGCCAATTTCTTACGTTTCTTCAGAATAAATGTCTTTGTAAAGATTCTTCTTAAAATTAACACTGGCTAAAAGCCCTGAAAACATCCAATTATTTACAGAACAATTATTATGAAATATTTTTTTTAAAATACTTCAATACTGAAGTAGTATTTTAACCCATAATAAAAAGTTCTGACATAAGCTAACCATATTTTAAAGGTATATTGGAGAATTTTCGCTAATTTTTGAAAAGAAGCACCCTCACCACTTTCAAAAAAAAAAAAAATGCAGATGCACGACACTGTACCTGCTCTCGAGAGGGAACACTTATTACACACGTGCAAGAGCATGCACGAGTCCATTTCTCCTTGTGCACGCTCCTTTTAAAAGTTGCTGTTTGCATCGCTCATACAAGCTTAGTTTCCAAAAGAAGTTTTGCAATTTTTCAACTATGTCAGACTCACCACCGGTAAGTGAAAATGGGGTAAAACATGTAGGATGGCCTTGCGTAAACCTTAAATATTACCAGAATGATTTACAATTGGAGGACCACTTATTTTGATGATCCACCTGGAAAAAGAACATCCTCCACTACACCTTTAAAATTACTTTGCTGTGTATACTATCCTAGCAGCTTAGGCTAGTTAGTAATAGTTTGTAACCAAACTACATATTTTCTTAAAAGTAGACACCAATACTTTACCTCAATCACAAAAGGTAAATGTAATAATTGAAATGGAAAAATTGTGCATTTAATGTGACCCAAATTATAAGACGTACAGTTTTATTTACTATAGATCTTGAATTCGGATACCTCTACTTTTCTGATTCAGAAATCCAACTTTGTGGACATTTTCTTTGATCGATCTTTCTGATTTTAAATCTCATAAATCACAAATACTGTGAAAATATGGAGCCAGATCTAATATCTCAGCTTTAAAAGCTTTACAATTATTTCATGCTAATCCTAGTATTAGGTAATGTTAGCTCAATAGGATATGTTTCAATTTGTATGGTCAGTTTTTTTTTGTTATTATCACTGTAAACTTTTTTTTCCCCCAGAACATTTAAAAGAAAGGTGTTTTAAAATGGTGTTAAAGACAAACCCAGCTATTTGGCTATAAATTAGATGTTAATTTTATTCAAACCATTCCTATCTTTTTAACCTTACAGGGTAGCCCTGCATATCTGGGGAGATCATGCAAAAGCAAATCCACACAATCAGTTAAGAGTGTCACCACCTAAACAACTTTGAGAATCTGAGCTCTGCTACTTTGGTACTTATGTTGCTTTATACAGAAACACGACTTAATGTTGTTGGATGTGTTGTTGAACAAACTCTCCTTAATCTGACTTTATGGTTTGCTGTTGGTTTTACAAATCAAAGAAGGCTGTTTTTTTGTTAAACACACTATGTCAGGTCAGGATAAGGAAATAAGTGGTCATGGTAAACCTTGACAGATTAAACTTAAAGATTTCGATCCTTTTGAATGGTCCTTGTTGGTGTTACTTGTGTTTGTCAAACCTTTTACTGCTACAGTTGGTTTGCACACTTTGAATATACTGTTGTGGTGTACAGTGTTCATGGTAGACTGCTCTCTTGACTCATTTCTATACATCCATTGCTCCTCTGACTGTTAGCATTTCAGAAATTGTTCAAAAGATGTATAGCTCCAAATGCTTCAGTTTCCCCTTTAGACTTTTCTTTTAAATGAAAACTATTTGCATTATATTTTGCATAATGTTAAATTCATCAAAATGAAAATTGTCTGAACTTATTGATGTGTTTGTGTGTGCCATCAATTTGAGTGACACGCGTTGCGGTTTTTCATTTTCAGCATTGCACGATGGCAAACCACACACACTTCCCCTCTTAACAGATTCACTCTGTGCGCTCTAGAAGTTCATCATTGCAAGGTTTCATTTCAAGCCGAAGTCAAAATAATCATTAAGAATGTTTGATTCTACGAAGCTATGCAGCTACGGCTCATTTAACTGCAAACACTATTAAAATGTTTAGCACAATATGAGCAGTTATGCAGGAGCCGTCTGTTTGCAGAAGAACTCGGTACGTTGACAAAACGCCTGTCATGAATAAAGATGGTTTCTATGTTGACTTGTGGCAGCCAGGGAGCTTCTGTGGTGGTTGATTTATGTCACAGGATTTATTCTTTTCTGCTCTGAAAACAGACTGAACTTATTCTGTATATTAAAAGCCGTCATATCTGAGAAAAACTGTGTTCCTTCAGCTGATGTTCCCAAGCACTGCTGAAACACTTTGATTGCTTGTCATGCTTGTTTTTCGTAGCTCTGAAATCACAGTACAAATGCAGCCTGTAGATAATGCGCACGCTTCCAACACATTGTGTTGTGTGCTTTGGGCTTTAAGAGAAGTACTGTGATGATGATGCACAGGGTTGTTGTGTTCTGTGATTGCAGGTTGTAACAGACATCTTATTTTCTCTGCAGGGTTTGCAGGTAAAAACTGATTACGTTCCTCTACTTCAGTCACTGGCCACATTTGGATGGAGGCTCACCTGTGTTCTGCCGACTCCTGTAATCAAGACTAACAGGTAATGTCTCTGTTTTCATTAGGGTATTTTTGATCTCTACTGACATCTGTTGGCATCCCTTAAAAGTGCGGAAATCCTAGTTCATGGATGCTTGATCATCCTGCACTTGCTGCTATTGCACTTCTGGTTAGACCTAAACTGCATTTCGTTGCCTTGTACCTGTACCTGTGTAATGACAATAAAGTTGAATATAGTCTAATCTAATCTAATCTAAACTAATTTGTAGCTTCTTTCAAGCCTATTTCTTAAGGATCACTCCACTACATCTTTCTGCATTGTCCCTGCTTACTTAAGACTGATATTACCTGATAAAAAATTTACAGATTTTACCATATTTGGTAGAGCCCTATACCAAATATTCCTTACTGTAACAAAAGGTTTCTCAATCCTGACCCTCAAGTACAGTACCACGGTCCTGCAAGGTTTAGGTATATCCTCGGTGCCACACACCCGACTTGTACGAAGAGATGAAGGGACATGCACTTTATGACTGCTGAGAAACTCATGCAGTTATTTGAAGCAGGTGTGCTGCAAAACAGTGACATCTAAAACATGCAAAGCAGTGGTACTTGAAGAACAGAATTTAGAGGCATGTGTAGTGAGTTTTAAAAGTCGGCTGTGGAGGATCTTTACCAAGGAAGGGCAAGGGAAGTTTATTCCACATTTGAGGTGCAGCTTTAGAGAACATCCATTTCCCTATTCTATTCCTCCTAGACCCTGGAACCTGCAGGAGCTGTTATTTAGTCAACCTCAGGGACTAAAATCGCAAGTAGGGGCAAAGAAGGTCAGAGAGGTATGGCAGAGAAAGTCCCTTCAAATGTTTAATAACTAAAATGAGAATTCTAAAATGAACTCTAGAATCTACAAAGGCCAGAATCAGGGTGACATGTTACGGTTTTTGAGTACCAGTTAAAAGAAACGCAGCAGCGTTTTCAAACGGCTGCAGAGGACAGAGAAGGACTAACTCACTCCAACATAAATTGTATTACAGTCATCTAAGCAGGCTGAATAAAAGCATGAATCACTGATTTTAAAGGTTGCCCAGACAGAAAAGATGTCTCTTTTGCTCTTATTTTATGGTCCAATATAAAATCACGGTCAGAATTAAAACTAACATGGGTGAAAAATTGGTCTGAAATATGTTTTCAATAAAATTTAAGGCATTTAGGGCCTGTCAAGATTTTTTGATATCCTCCAAGAAATCAAATAGTAGTTTGTTTTAAAAGCCATCCTTCTGTTTATAGTAAAATAGATGCAACAATGTAACAGTCAAAATAATTAAACTCCTTCAAATATGAAATCAAGAGCCAATAAACACCCTTTGAACTGAGCCAAGTTAGCACTAAGATAATAGAGGAACATGGTAATTCTGAGTTTAAAATATTATGCAGAAAGACCAATTAGCAAGTTTCTTTCATATCAGCCTTTAGCTTGTGTGTAAATCTTTGGATTTGGTGTTTATGATCTTCCTCTTACCATTTTGTTTTTATAGAATTAATGCAGGCTAGTTTGGTGGTCAATCAAGCACAATGATGTCTGTGTTATTAAAGAAGTTTTTGGTCTTTTTGGCACTGTGGACAATTGTTAAGTCCTGCTTCATAACAACATCTGTGGGGTTTTTTGTATTGCCCCACTTTTCCCTTCCACTCAAATCTAAAACGTTAAGACCAATTCTTTTTTTTATTTCCATGAAGACTATGTCAGTCTGTTAGACAGACATCATATTAGCATTAAAACAGGGTTATAACTCGGTCATAAAGTTACATTTTTGTTAGTTTTTTGTTTTACATTATTTACAATTGTCATCAGAGGTAGAACTCATAAACTCAACGAATACTTGAACTGCAGTCTGCTGTGTTATATGTCTATAGAATACATTAAGATGTACCTGTAAATAAAAGTTAAAATCTTCCATGACTATAATTAGCGCAGTCCCCAAACAAAGGGTACTACAGTAAGAATAAGGGAAAAGTAGAAACTCTGCCTTCATTTTGAAGCTATTTTTAAACAGTAGCTGTCAGTATTTCTGTGAAAAGAAAATTATATGCATAAGTTAGGCCTTTAGAGAAATCACTAAACCTTTCAGAGACGTTAAGCTAAATATGTTTCAGTCTCGGCTCTGCAGCTGCTGCAGCTGTCTGTTTGTGTGTGTGTGTGTGTATGTGTGTTGACAAGCAGCAGCTCTGTTCAGTGGAAAATATCTTTACAAAACTGTAACGGCTCCTCAGCAAAGCCAGAACTGAGTCATCACTCCCAGCTACTATATGAGTCTACATCCGCTTATGGTCAAAAGGCCTTGATTGTTGTCAGACACACAGGAACACACAGAAAACCCTTGCATTGAGTCAGAATTGTAAGTAGTCCACTATACTCCGAATAAGCTGTAAAGTACAAAGAACTAGGGTAAAAACACTTCAAAAGATAGCTGTTCAAAGCAAGACAAAAAGAACATATTCATGCACTATAGACGTTTGCGGTAAAGGTTGGCATTAAAAATCTGCAAAGCTCTACAACGATAATGTTGAATAAATTTATTGCATACAAAAAGTGTGAAATTGTACATTGACATAAACTATGAACAAGCACTCCGAATAGAAAACTTTATATATACCTTGGAAAGATTTATCTAAAAAATAAAAGTAATCACAGTTGATATCAGATTATAGATAAATAAGCTAATGAACACAAAAAACAAAACAAAAAAACTGGAGAAAACTGATTTTATAATATTTGGAAATTATTACGGAAATATATATGAGGCAGTCATAGGGTGGATTCATTCATTCATTCATTCATGTATGTGGTCTTTCTGCATGGAGATTGCATGTTCTCCCTATGCATGCATGGGTTTTCTCCGGGTACTCCGGCTTCCTCCCACAGTCCAAAAACATGACTGTTAGGTTAATTGGCTTCTCTAAATTCTCCTTAGGTGTGAGTGTGTGTGTGAATAGTTGTTTGTATCAGTGTTGCCCTGTGATAGACTGACAACCTGTCCAGGGTGTACATGTAAATGTGATGGATGGATGGATGGATGGATGGATGGATGGATGGATGGATGGATGGATGGATGGATGGATGGATGGATGGATGGATGGATGGATGGATGGATGGATGGATGGATGGATGGATGGATGGATGGATGGATGGATATGTACATGCATTTCTTTGCTCATTTATGGGACTTTTGGGGCAGTATGGACTGGATAAGTAAAGTAGGAATTAAAGGACTAGATTTAGTAAAAGGGATATGAAGAATTAAATGCGTTCTAATTAATCACAGTCCTTTTCAGACATAAGAACTAAATTATTACTGGTGTCCCTATGTAATACTTCTTGTTATCAATGTTCCCTCTAAGCTGCATGCTCAAATCCACACTGCTTGCGAATTTTCAGCAAACAACAAATCTATCCTGTGTATAAGATAAAATCAACATAAACTGAAAATTGGTTAAACCAATGAAATTTTTTTGGTATCATTTGAATCTGTGTATCATTAATTTTTCTTTACTTAAAATCAAACAATTAAAATACCAGACAGGAAGTAGAATTTATGACAGCCCAAATTATTTATCAGTCCAGAATTCCTGACCAATGGAATTAACTGGTTTGTAAAAACCCTGTCGTTCATCATGCACACAGTTTGACACACCTGTTCAAGAGGCAGCATGATGCTCCATGTGACTTTCTTTTTTCAAGGATATAATAAAGCAAAGATGTAAACAATCAACAAATTTGCAGATATGGTGGCTGCAGCAGTTAATGTAAGGCGCCAAAGACGATCTCACAGCTTGTACATTATAAGCACCCAGTGCTGATTGCCATATTTGGTTTAATGATCAGATCAAAACAGGATCCAGAAAGCTTTTAAAGTGGTATATATAGACAACCATTGGTAAAGTGAGGTGTACAGACGTAAAAAATACAGAAAACTTAAGTCAGATTTGTTGATATGTATTGATTGTTTGTTTATTTATGGAATTGATCATTAAATGCTTATATTATTATACAATGTATGTTAGTAGAAATTCTAAACAAGTGTGTAAGTAAATAAATAACATACAAGGAGTTGCAGGTATTGATACTGCATCACACACTTTAGCAAACATTTCATTTTGCAAAATGTGAGCGCTTTAATGTGGATTAAAGCAGGATCATCAAACTCATCAAAACAGGACTCTTGCATATAGCATGGAACATATCTCAGAATATTTTTGTTTGCTTGTTTTTTAGAGGTACCAAATATATAAACCAGAGTACAAGTTCAGTATTGCTGTGTGGCCTCAGTGTGCACATCTAATGTTGCTCACAGTGGTCCTTGGTGAACTCGAGTAAAAAGATGGTCATCCAGTAAAACTGACAGAGGACAATTCATGAGGAATACTAGAAGAAATACTAGAAGGAATACTAGAAGAAAAGAGGCTTCATTCTTGCCCAAAGTTTTACCTTTTAAGCACTAAAAAACAACAACAAAAAAGCTTAAGCAAGATAAAAAAGGAAATGGTTTCATAAGATGGACGCATTTCATATCCTTAGCAAGGACCTAAATGAAATATAAATATGTTACAAGACTTGGAAAGCGAGGATTCAAAAAACCTGCTAACCTGCTTATAGATTAATTTTCTAGACCCCAAGACAGCCAATGGCAGATTTGTGCTGTTTTGTCAGTAACTGCATAAGATCTGTAAAAACAGTCAGCAACAAATGAAATGTATCTGAAATTCCTCCTTTTAATTAATTAAAAGACAAACCAGAGCACATACATCTGTAGGATTCATATTTTTAGGTCAAATCCTATTTTCTTTCTCTTAAACTGTTTCTCGCATATCTAACAAAATAAATGTAAACCGATTATTTCTTTGTGGTGAGTAGTGCTGAAACATTCAGTTAAACATTGATTCCAAGTTGCCTGTTATAGATCGACACAACACTGGTTCATCTCAAGATTCTTGCTGCAAATTAGTTTTTTTGTTTGCCAGATTGATTAAGATTAGCCATTACCA